CTAATTTTTACGGAAATTAATGACGAGTTCACAATACATATGGTCGTTCTCTCATTATGCATGCAAAACTAGGAAGACCACTTTACCACCAGTTTATTTAATTATTTGGGATAAGCAATTCTAATGAGATATTCTTTCGAAAACACTCCTGTTATCGACATTAAGTTTCACGGTTAAAAAAACTCGATAAGAAAAATTCAGTTAAACAACATTTACCGGTATCGTGTTTATCATCCAAGCATGGAAATAAGTTAACAGATTTCACGTGTTAGTGTAGTTAGACACTGTAATTCTAATCATCTTCGAGAATCATAAAGGAAGCTTCATGGAATTTCTCCATAATGACTTTTCCCTATTCATAAACAGAATCGTCTTAATCCCAAAAAAAAAGATTCTCTGAGCTGCATAATACGATATGATTCATGCATCTAACTACCAAGCACATACCTCAATGATCACCGGTTGTACCAACTGGTTGTCGGTCACTCTAGTCACGACGGTCTCGGTGAGAGTGCTCTTTGTGATGGTCTCAGTAACTTTACCAAGTGTGGTGGGAGCCGGAGGAAAATTAACATCTCCGGGTAGATTATCAGGCTGTTTTATTGTCACTGTCACGATGGGGCCCTGATGGGAGTCTGGCGATGGCGAGGAGGTAGGAGGGCGAAGGAAATGAGCGGGAATCATAGCCTGAAATTCTTCGTTGGTGATTGGCTTCGGTACCTGTATGTCCTCCTGGGGCGAAGTTGGTCTAGGCTCTGTGGTGGACGTGGGCGTCGTGCTCGCAGTTGTGGGTGTAATCGTTGGTTGTGAAATGCTATGCCTTGGGGCAGGTTGTGGATGAGGTTGACTATTTGTTGGACTTGGCGATATCGAAGAAGCGTGCTTAATATTCCCCGATTCTGTTACACCGTTCATTTTCGGCACCTCGGTGGTTTCAATTTTCATTGGCGGCGGTGTCTTTGCTGTCGGACTTGGTGACAGAGCTCTATCTGCATCGATAGAACGCCGGTATCCAGTGTACCCTGGTCTATTTGCTATGTAACTATTGGCATTATACAATCCAGTGTACGGTTTAGGTGCACCGATCACGCGTGGCGACTTTTCCGATGGTGTCACTACTATGGTCGCGTTCGCTTGGGAAAGTGGTATTTCGCGTTCGACTACCAGTCGAACGAATCTTTCCAAGCCTGTCAACAGAGCTACCGCTTGTTCATGCTTAGCTCCTC